TCCTGCACCTCTTTTTCTACGAAATGACCCCTGCTTGTTATCGTTCTATCATGGTCTAGGGGGATTCTATCGCCATCAGCACTTTAACAGCACTTGATCTGTATGTGTGATTTGTTTATGTTTATGAGCTTTTATGATGTTGTGCTGTGTTTTAATGTATTTTAAGTTTTTAATGTGAGCTGTCCTGAGCCTGCCTCGGTGGGGGCGGGGGCGGGTGGGATACAAATCGAATCAAAAAAGTAAATAAATACGGTTTGGGTGCTACAAAATGCTGGGATGGCCACAGCAGAGTTGCCAACCTCCAGGTAGCGGCTGGAGACCTCCTGGGATAGCAACTGATCTCCAGGCAAGAGAGATCAGTTCGCCTGGAGAAAACGGCTGCTTTGGAGGGTGGACTCATCCTGAGGTCCTTCCCCTCCGCAAACCCCACCCAGGCTCCACCCCCAAAATCTCCAGGTGGTTCCCAGCTCAGAGCTGGCAACCCTATCCAACAGGCATAGGTAAAGGTTCCCTTGCTCGAAAGCCAGTCGAATCCGACTCTAGGGTTGCGGTGCTCATCTCCGTTTCAAAGCCGAAGAGCCAGCACTGTCCGAAGACATTTCCGTGGTCATGTGGCCGCAATGACTAAACACCGAGGCGCACGGAACGCCGCAGGCATAGAAAGCCCTAAAAGTAGAGAAATCAAATTCACAGAAGACTGGCCGCTCTGTGGCTCAGATGGATAGATGGGAAAGCCTCCATGTTCAGAGGCAGTATTCCTCTGAGGATCAGATGCTGGGGACAAATAAGAGGATGCCTAGCTGGGGAGAATCCTAAGGGTATGTGAATTATATGTACCAGAGATAAGAGGGCTAGTGTATGGTCAGCTACCAGAGGTCCCCGAAGGGCTACTACCTAACCCTGGGTTCCCGCTGTCATCGGAAAGGAAAAAGAGGAGTACAAACACACTCATCTCTGTTGTTTCAGAGACCTTTGTGGGAAGGAGGCTGGTAAAGCTAGCCTCTCTGCCACTAGGCACCGGTAGGGTTGCCAAGTCTATCTTCGCCGGAAGCGGGGGGCTCCCGGCTGGCGTCTTGCGCACACGCGAAGCGCACACGCGCCGCATGCACGTCACCCGGAAGTGACGGGAGGACGCCAGGCATGCTGGGGGCGGGGCCACGGCCATACAAGGGAAAACCATAGAGTTATCCCTTGTATGGCTATGGCCCCACCCCCAGCGTGCCCAGCGTGCCCGCGTCACTTCTGGGTGACGCGCACGTCGGGGTGGAGTTCCCCCGGGGCCCGATGCAGCGGCGCTGGGGAACGGGCCTCTGGGGCAGGGGTTTCCCCGCCCCCCTGGGGGACTTCAGATCCCAAGGCACCGGCCAGGGCTAGGCCACAGCACTCCCTTAAAACAAATCTGTCCAGCAGCACAAGACCTCATTGCAATTTTGATACAGCAGAAAGTTTGCCGACAGTTCTGACCCTTTTAAATGACAAATTCGTTTCCAAAAGTTGTAAGCCATATTGTTCCTCCCAGGGGTCATTTCGTAGAAAAAGAGGGGCAGGAGTTCATTAGCATAACTCATTAGCACAACTCATTTGCATATGCCACATCCCCTGACATCACCGGAAGTGTGTCAGAAGGCAACACCCGCCGCTCAGGCTCCACTGGACTGTTTTTTTAGGGATTTTTTGGATTGCTAGCTATTGGGGGGGGGGACACGCAGATCTGTCCTCACAGAGGAGGGAGAGCTTGTACCTGAATAAAAGAATAAAACTTGGTCTTAAAGCTGCCACTGGACTGTTTTAGACCCGGGGGGCCGGGGGGGGGGGAGCTCTGCAACTTACCTGGCTGTTTCTTGCTCCGACTGAGGGCTGCTGGGAGCAGGGGGTGGGGCTTGTTGCATATGCCCACCCCGTTCCTGTGCGCTCCTGCAGGAAATGGCCCCTGGTTCCTCCTAACCCTTTCGTATCGCATCTCCAGTTCTTGTGTTCGCAGAACCTCAAGCACCCATGCTCCAATACTGTGAGCCCTGGAGCAGATTTCTTGGGGGGCAGCTGCTGAGTCATTGCACCATCCCCGTCCACCTCCGGGTGGACCTTTCCGTTCTGAGTGGTGCTGGCTTTACCACAAAGCCCCATCCGGTTGTGCAGCAAAATGCAATTCTGTCCAGAGCAGCTACCTGGAGAACAGAGAAGTTCTCCATTCCTGGTCTATCTGGACCTTCAGTTCGATCTTTCGTCCTTCAGATGCCTGGAGCTCCCAAGGAGGCCTATTTTTGGGCAGGAACGCACAGGAACGGAGTTCCGGCTGGCTCCCGAGTTGGCCACGCCCAGCAGGAACTCATTAGCATAATAGGCCACACCCAACAGCAGACACTCATTAGGATTGGCTACATTAGGGGTGTGTGGCCTAACATGCAGAGGAGTTCCTGCTACAAAAAAGGCCCTGGGTTTTGACAACAAACAAGGTAAACAGAATAACAAGCAAAAGGTGGGTGTGGCTGGATGAACACACTTCTGGTAGCATGGGGGTGCGTCCTAATGTGGTAATGAGCTGTGCTGTCAGGGGTGTGGACTAATATGCTAATGAGTTCCTGCTCTTGGGTGTGGCCTATTATGCTAATGAGTTCCTGCTGGGCTTTTTCTACAAAAAGAGCCCTGCAAGTACTAAGGAGACTGCCATGGCGGTTTGGGGTTTGTCCTCAGAAGAAATGAAAATTCCAATAACTCATGAACCCTTAATTAAAGGGAGACTGGAGGACACTTTTCTCCTTATGCAAGTGAGATGCGGGACTGACCCAGGTGGGCATTAGAATGGGCAGGTGGAATCCTGAGGGGGGAGCAGGGTTGCCAACCTCCAGGAGGTACCTGGGGATCTCCCATTATCTCCGGAGACAAGAGTTCAGTTCTCCTGGAGAAAATGGCTGCTTTGTATAATACTTTGTTATTAGGTTTTCATGTCCAAATACATACTAAAAGCTAACAACAAAGCTTCAAAAAGATTTGTAACAATAGTAAAAACAAGTAAGCAACAGTTTACGACATGAGTTGAGTGATTTACAGGTATGCATTAATCTTTGCTTTTTAGGTGGTAAAATTACATAGTGATATTAATAGCTATATTGTAGATGATGACCCAACAGGATTTATCTGTTCTTTACCTTTGAAATTAAGTGACCCACATTACCAAAGCCACAAGGCATCCATCACTGGAGGGACGTCCTGTTGATTGGATAGGTAATTCAGGATAGGGAGCCAGATTGCAGTGAAATTGGTGCGAGTAAGACATTGATCAAAACGCATAAGATTATCCGAGAGTTTAGCCATTATATATATATCCCATAGCTTTTTATGCCATTGAGAAAGAGTGGGTGTCATTGTCGTTTTCCAATGTGTGGCAATGGCAGTCTTGTGGCAATGACAGTCTTAGCTGCAAATAGCATTATTGAGATGCGTTCAATGATTCGTTCAATGACTAACATCGTCCATAGCCCAACTGTTCAAAAATATATGTTCAGGTGAAGGGGCGATGTCTGTATCACTAAATGACTTGATCTGCTCTATTACTTCTTTCCAGAAGGGGAGAATTTTGGGACAGAATATCCAACAGTGTGTATAATCTCCTATGATACCACATTTCTTCCAACATTTTGGGTTGTATGATGGGTTCATGCGGGCTAGCCTGCAAGGAGTGAGGTACCAGTGCGATAATATTTTGAATGATTGTAGCTTCATAGATGTAATTCTAGAGTGGAATGGGGGAGATGTCCATATGCGATTCCATGTATCCTCTGAGAGAGTAATGCTACATGTCTTATGCCACATTGTTTGGTAAGATAGTGTTTCTGCATCCCTCAGAGCGATTAGTACTTTATGTACCTTAGCTATCAAACCGAAAATGGCTGATTTGGAAGGTGGATTCTGTGGAATTGTACCACACTAAAGCCCCTCCCCTCCCCCAAACCCACCCTAGGTGGGGAAGAGGACTGATTGGGGGGGGGGCAAAGCTCCCTCTAGGCTGTGCAGTCTCGTGAGCAAAAATCCTACTTTGTGAGCTCCTGGCATTAAGGTTGTGAGCGAGCGATTTGGCTGCTGCATAAAGTAGTTTGCTCTACAGCCATCCTTCCTGAGCGAAGGCAAGAATGTGTGAGCCGGAGGCTAAAAAACTGTGAGCTGGCTCACACTAACTCAGCTTAGAGGGAACACTGGTGAGGCAGGATAGTCGTTTTTTAAACTTTTTGTGAAAATTTGGAAAAAGCAACAACTAGGAGAGCTTTCATTTAGCCATTACAGCTGGTAGTCTTTGCTGGACCCTATTAATGTGTCTAATCACTTTGAGTCTTGGTGAGAAACTATCGCTGAAGTAAATAAACTAAGCAAGTCAGTTTTAAAACCTTCTAAGCGGGGGTCATTTTGTAGAAAAAGAGGTGCAGGAGCTCAGTAGCATAACTCATTTGCATATGCCACACCCCCTGACATCACCGGAAGTGCGTCAGAAGGCAACACCCACCGCTCAGGCTCCACTGGATTGTTTTGGATTGCTAGCTATTGGGGGAGGGGGGGAACGTGCAGATCTGTCCTCGCAGAGGAGGGAGAGCTTGTACCTGAATAAAACTTGGTCTTAAAGGTGCCACTGGATTGTTTTGGACCGGGGGGGCTCTGCAACTTACCTGGCTGCTTCTTGCTCCGACTGAGGGCTGCTGGGAGCAGGGGGTGGGGCTTGTTGCATGTGCCCGCCCCCTGGGCTCTTTACTGCCAGAGCTCCGCTCCTATGCGCTCCTGCAGGAAATGACCCCTACTTCTAAGAAACAGGCCATCGCTACATCCTGTGAGCTGAATTCCCCAAGTTAATTACATGGTGGGTGAAGAAGAAGTACTTCCTTTGGCTTATCTTAACTCTACTACCCATCAGTTTTACGGAGTCCTTCTGAGTATTCGTATTGTGGGAGAAAGAGAAGGTCTTGTCACTCCACCCCATGCATAAATTGATAATGCTCCAACCATTTCCCTCTCACCTTGCTGGTCTTCCGTACGTCATGTCCGGAGGGACCTTGGGGGGCGTCTTCTTAAAGCGTCGCTCATCATTATCACTTAAGCGGATGTCCTTGAGCTGGCGGTACAGGTTCTGCTCATGTGCAGTGACATAACCCTCTTGGATGGCTTTGCGGTTCATGGTCTTGTAATCACGGCCCCGCTCCTTTGCTGAAGGGGCTCTGGGCTTTATTGCATTCCAGTGGCCAATGGCTAGGGAGAAAAAGAGGTTAAGAGAAGTCAAGATTGCCAGGAACATTCATTAAAAGCCATTTCTATGCAGAGACTGAGGTAGTCAAATTGTTTCTGGAGTGGACAACTCTAGCCCACTTCAAGCAGGTGTTTGTACAATATGGTAAAAAAGAATTCCTGCATGCAGAAAGCTAGCATGTCAGGGAGAAGTGTCAGCTAGAGCTGTTCTCCCACACATTCTTGTTTTCTATATGCAGGGAACATTAATATTTGTTTGAGAGAGCATTCAGCTGTACCTGCAGTCTGGAATAGTACAGTCCACGAGAACATTTCAACTGCTGTTCACATGAACTGAGCTTCAAGGGGTGACTTTGTATTCTGCCCTTAAACTAACAGCTAAGGAAAAATGCATCAGGATTTGGTAAGTGAAGTTTCTTGGCATGGACGTCTCTTCTCATATTATCTGTACCATGAGGGGGCAGGTGAGGGAAGGAGCAACATTTCTCCACGAGTCTCAAGCAGGCACTTGGAAAACTCCTCCCACCTTCCCTTACTGAACAGTTCAGTGGGGAGCTGCTCTCACCTGTCAAGCCCACCCCCAAGGAGATACAATTGTGCAGGCTGGAAATGGCTGCAAAATGCAATAAAATGTTGTCACATTGCCACTCCAGATGTGAAACCGCAGTGGCTAAGTAGAAGAAGAAGAGAAGAGATTGGATTTATACCCTGCCCTTCACTTGGAGTCTCAGAGCGGCTTACAAACTCCTTTCCCTTCCCCTCCCCACAACAGACACCCTGTGAGGTGGGTGGGGCTGAGAGAACTCTGACACAAACTGCTCTTTCAGGAACAGCTGTGCCAGAGCTTGTGACTGACCCAAGGTCACATGAACAGGTGCAAGTGGAGGAGGTGGGAATCAAACCCGGTTCTCCCAGATTAGAGTCCGCACACTTAACCACTACACCAAACTGGCACTTTAAATACTAACAAAATTTGTGGCAGGTCACTGCTCACAAATGAGTCACCGCTCACTTCTTCATATACAGCTAGAATGGCAGTCCATCCGTCTTATAGGAAAGTGGAGTTTTTTTCAGATGCCGAATGATATTAGCAGGCAAATGACAACAGCAGGTTTGATTGCAGAGGTCACTTCGGGGAGGGAGCGCGGGGGATCGCAGTTCCCCCGGGTGAGGTACGGGGGCCGGGGCACATGACGAAGCCCCGCCCCCTGCTTCCGGCCACCCCGCTTCTGGCCCTCATTCAGCCAGGAGGAGGCAGGAGAAGAGGGAGGGTAAGTTGCTTCCTCCCTGCCTCTCCCCACCCCTGCCTGCCTGGGGCCAGGGAGGGCCTT